GTGGGGGCCGGAGGGCGTGGCCACTGGGCATCCTCAGGGCCTGCGCCGCGGTGGTCAGTGCTGAAGTTGCCCGCTGCGGTCTGCGATGGACGCCAAAAGGAGCCGTCTGCAAAATCAGCTTGGGACGCATTTTGCACGGCTGTGTTTGCAAGAGACACGGTGTGAGGGGGCCTTCCATCGTGGGGAACAGCTCCCTGTGTTCACACCTTCTTTCTAGGCGCAGGGATGCAATGGGGAGGGAGGGGGAGAGGGAGGGGATAACGGATCCCAAGGGAGGGAGGGAAGGGGCTTTCCCAGTCGAATCAGGTGACGACTCCCACTTTGGGGTTGGGAGGACTCTGGCCTAGAAGTCAGAGCCAGGAGCGGTGCCACCGTGGGCCTCGCTCAGGTTCTGGGGTCACCAACAAGGTGGGCAACGGCCCCTCCAGCCTGGTGTCCACCTCAGCGCTTCCTTGGTTTGTGACAAGCAGGTGTGCGGGGGCTGCATACCCGCCTGATAGCTGAGTTAATGGACCGGTGTCTCTGCAGGGGAAGCTCCCAGGCGACTGCCGGGGCTCCCGAGGACGGCATCTGTGTCGCGGCCTCTGCCCTGGACACAAGGCCCAGGAGTGCGGAGCCGGGCCCAGTCAGCGGCTTCAGCTCAGGGTCGGGAAGGGAGGGTTCCTGCCAGGTGCACAGCGGTTCCACACAGAATTCCAGGAGGTCCAGCGCGTCGCAGACCATGCAATCGCGTCCTCACCGGCCCCAACCCCGCGGGAAAGAGGAGGCTGAGCCAGGACCCCCTGGGGAAGGCGGAGAGGCCAGGTGGGAGCTTCCTGGCGCCCAGGTTGCAGAGGGCGTCAGTGGCCTGCGGAATCACCGCTCTGCACCGGCTCTCTCTGGCGAGAACTCTGACATCATCCGTGCTGTGATGTGGGGGATGTGCAAGTGCTAGCGTTTGGCAGATGCTCATGGATTTAAAGGGTCACAGCCTTCTTTACTTTCAGCCAGCGTTTTGCAAGGGGGCAGTGTTTCACGCATAGCTCTTCTTGGGAGTGGGTGTTCAGCCCAGCGGTGGCCCCTGTGCCCCACGTGGTCTGAGTTCAAGCCCTGGCTCTGCTCCGGATTCCAGCTTCCTGCTAAGGCAGACCCTGGGAGGCAGCAGGTGCTCAGGGATTTAAAGGGTCACAGCCTTCTTTACTTCCAGCCAGCGTTTTGCAAGGGGGCAGTGTTTCACGAACAGCTCTTCTTGGGAGTGGGTGTTCAGCCCAGCGGTGGCCCCTGTGCCCCACGTTGTCTGAGTTCAAGCCCTGGCTCTGCTCCGGATTCCAGCTTCCTGCTAAGGCAGACCCTGGGAGGCAGCAGGTGCTCAGGGATTGGATTCCTGCACCCACGTCAGCGCTCAGACCCGGCTCCAGCATCTGGGGAGTGAACCAGCAGATGGAAGCTCTCTCTGTCTCAATAAATGCTTAGAATTTTAATGTCTCGATGACATTTGCAGAAGCAGATAATGAAAAATAAGTATCAGTAATAGAAAAATGATTCTAGCTAACTATTTCTGATGCCAGCAGTAATTTAATATATTTCAAAAATAAAAACTATTTGTTTTGCTATTTTTACATATATTAAGGACACAGTAAATACCAGTTTCATGGGTTTTGCTTAAAAAACATCAAAATAGGGACTGGTATTTGGCCTTCTGTTTGAACGTCAGTCCCACATCCAAGTCCCACGTCAGGGTACCTGGGTGTGACTCCTGGCTCCCGCTCCCGACCCCGGCTCTCACTAACACAGAGCCCGGGTGGGGGGCACCGCAGGACAGCTCAGATCCTGGGTTCCTGCCACCCACACGGCAGACCTGGCTGGAGTTCCTGTCTCCTGGCTTCACCTTGGTCCAGGCCCAACTGTTCAGGGCATTTGAGGAGTGAATTAGCACACCAGGGGCTCTCTGTCTATCTGTTTCTCTCTCTCTGCCTCCCAAATAAATGAATAAAAAAAAAACCTGCCATAATAACTGATTGTTTGATGAAAATGGGGCTTCCTGCTAAATAAGTACCCAAAGGGTTGATGATTTCTGTAGCCACCATGGCAATGTATGTTCGTGCCTGTGCCATGAGGTAGGGCGTAAGTCTCTTCTCCTTCCGGCTGTCACATGGCTGAGCCAGGCCTAGAACCCAGGGATGAATGAGAATAGTGGACATAGATGAGCAAATTCAACTTCGCCATGAACTTACAGTCCCTTGCGCTACCGTATGACTATCAGAGCAGCCAAAGTCAAAATGATCACCGAACTGGGCAGACGGTGGGGAGACAAGTGAGGAGAAGAGAGAAGCCAGACCAGCGGCCTCCTTCTGGAAGGAGGCGGGAGCTACGCGACTGTCCTCACCCTGGGCCCAGGGGGGCCACTTCTGGAATCAGAGAAGGGATTTGTAACGGTGCTGCTGGTAACAGCCGAGTTGGCAGTAACTCAAGTGTCCCGTGTTGGCCATCGCCGTTGTTACACCGCATCGCATCTGCCTTTTCACATGGCGTCTGTTTCTGGCTAGATGGACGTCTGAAGGCAGGGATCACATCCTGGTTATTTTTGTGTTCTTCATATTTGGTAAGGCCTGGCATAGAAATGACAAATAGGCTGTCGCTGCAGCTCACTAGGCTAATCCTCCGCCTGCGGCACCAGCACACCGGATTCTAGTCCCGGTCGGGGCGCCGGATTCTGTCCCGGTTGCCCCCCTTCCAGGCCAGCTCTCTGCTGTGGCCTGGGAGTGCAGTGGAGGATGGCCCAAGTGCTTGGGCCCTGCACCTGCATGGGAGACCAGGATAAGTACCTGGCTCCTGGCTTCGGATCAGCGCGATACGCCAGCCACAGCGGCCATTGCGGGGTGAACCAACGGCAAAAGGAAGACCTTTCTCTGTCTCTCTCTCACTGTCCACTCTGCCTGTAAATATATAAAAAAAATAAAAAAAAAGAATGGACAAAAATTGCTCAGGGATCTGAATGAGCTAAATAGTAGAATCTGATCTTGCCATAAACAGTATGAAAAACCAATCTACGTTGTACAGAATAAGGACGGGTCATAATTACGAAACCAAAGCAGCAAAGGTGCACACTGATGCCAACCAGGGAAGCCGTCTGGTGCAGGAGGGTGTTGTCACGTGGGAGAAAGCCCGGCCTGCAACAGCAGTGCGGCGGTGTGGGTGCGGTTGCCTTCCTCAACACCCGCGTTCTTACCGCGAAACCAAGTGTGTACAGGCCCTGTGGTTTTGAACGGACACGGTACACAGCTCCAGGCCTTTCAGCTCAGACAGAACGTGGAGAGCTCTGCTCCCTGGCAGTTCTGAACCAGGCGGGAGAAGCCTGGGTTAGGTCTCAAGGCCTGGACGGATTCTCCCGCTAGACCCTTGGTTCCACCCAGCGAGTCCTCCGCTGGCCGGGAAGGCAGCGCCAGGCTGCAGCTGCGCAGTTGCTCAAGCTCCCGGCCGTAGGACTGGGGCCACACGGGCGCCTTCCATTCATGCTTGTGCCAATCCCTTCTGCAGGGGATTTTCACAAAAACCTCTGTGCCTGCGAACCTCAGTGCATCCACTCCATGAGCTCCCAACAAATGAAAATGAGCGTTGCCAGAGATTTCACCAGGCCAGCGAGCCTGGGCTTCAGTGCCCGAGGGGCCACGTTCCCTCTCAGTTAAGGGGCGAGTGGAGTGGTACAGGTGCTTTCTAGACCTGCGTGGGGAGAGGACCAGCGGACTGTGGCGCTCACACCTCCTCTGCAGTCCACCCGGGACGAAGTGGGGTGGAGCACAGCATTGCTGCTTTTTGAGCCCCTCTGAACAAGCTGACTTCTTAACAGCCACACACATGTGCTAAAGCCTGGAAACTGAGATTTTAGACTCAGTTCTCAAAAGAAGACACAAACGGCCAACAAATACGTGAGAAAATGCTCAACATCACTAGCGACCCGGGAACTGCAAATCAAATCCTCACCTGTCTGAATGGCTGAAACCCAAACACAGAGAGTAACAAATGCTGGCGAGGACGTGGGCAGTGGGGGACACGTGGGCTATGAGGAACACGTGGGCCGTGGGGGACACGTGGGTGGTGGGGGACACGTGGGCTGTGGGGGACACGTGGGCCGTGGGGAACACGTGGGCTGTGGGGGACACGTGGGCTGTGGGG